TATATATATATATATATAATGTTTTAAAATTAAATAATTATTTATCTATTCAAATTAACGTATATTATAATTTTCGATATTATATCAATAATATTATTAATATATTTATAGATAAACTAATAATTTGATAAATATAACTTGTTATATATTAATATACTTTTACAAAAATATAAGTATATTAATTAGAAATATATATCTGATCTTATATATTTATATTTTTGTAAAAGTATATTAATATATATTAAGTTATATTTATCAAATTATTAGTTTATTTATAAAAAGGGTAAAAATATTATTGATATTAATTTATCAGTAATATTAAAATACTAATAATATATAAATTTTATTTATTTAGTAATAGTAAATATATATCATTTGATACATTAAAAAAAATAATATACGTTAATTTAAATAAGGAAACAATTATATAGTTTTAAAACATTATATATATATATATATTAAAATTTTAAAATTATTAAATTTTTAATGAGAAAGACTAAAATTGCACAATTATGATATTTGAGAGATTAAAATTGTTAAATTAAAAATTGTGAGACTAAAATTACACAACTATAATCTTTTAAGGAATGAAATTACTCAATTAAAACCTTAGGGATCAAAATTGCATAATTATAATACTTGAGCAATCAAAAACACAATTAAACAAAGAATATTTTATTCACAGTTTTGGAACGGGCCGTTCTGAATCCAGAACGGAACATTCTGATTTCAGAACGTCCCGTTCTTATTCACTATTGGTGTTTTAATTTTGCAACCAGAACGGCCCGTTCCGATTTCAGAACGGGCCGTTCTGGTTCCAAGTGTTTTCAAAAAAATTCTCATCCACGTGAATGCCACATATGCATCTACGTGGCATCCACGTGGCTAAAAGTTAACTCTGTTTAAATAATTTGGACGGAAGTCCCACATTGAAACTAATTAATTAATTTAGGACTAAATTGAAACTAATTAATTAGTTTAGGACCAAATTGAAACCAAAAATAAAAGTGAGACTAAATTGAAACAAAAAATTATTATAAGGGACCAAATTAGGTTTTTAGCCTAATTTTTATTCAACATCAAAATTATCTTTAGAATTTGTGATCAATATTCTTTTATCTTATTTCACTTTTATAATTTCTCTCATTTATCTTATTTCTCTAACTCATTTCCTTCTTCACATAGATTTTTTGGATTTTGCAAGGCTGTCTTACTGTAAGAATCATAATTATTGAAATTGTGGAATTAAAATTCTCAAAACGATCTCTTTTTAAAAAAACACTTTACTATCTCTTCCAAAAAAAAAAATTCTCTCTTGCTTTTCTTCTACTTTTAAGTATGTGATGCATTAAATTACAAATATGGTGTAAAAAGAAAAACTACATAATCAAATTAATTATAATATAGTTCAAATATTATTATAAGACTCGTCATTTTTCCTCCTAATACGAGCCATATTGTCTAAAAATTTATTAAAATAAAAATTTCGTATTACCGCACTTATTAAAAAGTTGTCTTATTTTAAAATTCATATGTACACCTTATTCACCAATTCAAATTTCATATAGAAGGTTGGACGTTTAGATTTTATTGCAAAAGTGCTCTGTTTTGATATTTGCATTAGATTAAGAATAGTCAGGTATTGAATAAGTAGATAATTTACTTTAAACAATATATTTAATCTACTACTCTCTCAATGTTCTTACATTAAAGTTCAAGTGTAAATAAAAACTCTATCCTACCATATCATCTTTTCCAAAAGAATTTAACATATTAAAATGGCATTAATTTCTCAAATACCTACATATATCCTTAATAACAAGTGCCGTTATGCAGATAATGCAGTAATAGCTAATAGAAGATAAATTCAACTGAATAATGATTCAAATGATGATTTCTATAAAGTAATTCATTTTATTTTTTCGGATCTCTTTCTTTTACGATTCATTAACACCTAGTTTTTTTTTTCTCCCATTTTTTTATAACCATTCATCATATCCCAAACCCTCTGTAATGTTACTATTCTGAAGTAATATGCAGGAAATAAAACGCTAAAGATTGACTAGCTGGAGTAATTTAACGGTCTTAATGGTTCAAACTTACATAAAATTGAATAATGTAGTGGAATAAAAGTATTGAGGAGTTAATGTAGAATGGATAGTGCATAAGCATTTGAGCAGCAAAGGCTGATGTTGATTCAGTTGTTTACATCTACTTACCTTTTCTTGTGGGTTGCTTTGGTCGACATGTCCCCACAAAACTACTCTAATTTTTTCCACAGACCAAGTCTTCCATTCTCATACTTCAAGTCAATTGGCATGCCATCGCCAATAATGTTTTACGATATAATTAATAGACTCTCCTCTTACATTATACTAACGTTTTTAGCTCATACAAATTGAGGAAGGATGAGTGGAGTTTATGAATTTGTGTTACTGCTTTTGTTTTGTCACCTTACGCCACTTCTCTTGGCGGATGGATACCAACCAAAGTGTCCACCTTCGTTTGATTGTGGATATCTTGGCAATATCAGTTTCCCTTTTACTATAACAGAACGCAAGGACTGTGGCTTATTGCCCATACGCAATTGTCATTCTCCAGCTCTCAAAATGATCCAATTACAGAAAGATGGAAAATGGTTTCAGGTTGTACGCGTAACTCAGTTGCTGAGTAGTCCTACTACTACTTATACAACTTTTCAATTTAGAGACACCAATCTCAATGAGCTTCTGCAGAACCAAAATTGCGAAGCTTTCAGAAACAGTTATACTCTTCCTCACACCTCTCCCTTTGCTTCGTTTAGTATGCAATCAAGCACAATTGTGTATAGGTGCAACCGCAACCACCACGTCACTCCTCCCCCTGGCATGTATATTTATACAAACTGCTCTGATTACAATCTCTACTACAGTTCAGTCACGACGGGTGATTGGAGCTCTTTGAGAGGATGTACAAAGGTCCAGCTTCCAGTTAAAGACGTGCCTGACGCTAAAAACCCATTCACATTCAGAACTGCACTTATCACCACTCAAGTAAACTTGACTAAAGAATGTGCAGATTGCCACTATCGCCTAGGAGGGCAGTGTCAACTTGACAACAAATACAGATTTTATTGTGCCAACAGCATCGGTACGCGTTTTTCTACAATTCTTAAATCATCATAAAAATAACCACAAACGGCTGGGTTAAATGTTTGAGATACAGTAAGGTTTTGAATAAATAATTTGCTTTACATTTTTCTTTCTTTTTTCGTGCAGAGAAAACTAGAAGGAAGTTGCCGACAATGAAAACAGGTAGAACACTATATAAACACACCCAATTCAACTTTATTATTTTCTTACGATTTATGATAGACAAGAGTCAACAAATTAACGAATTTCTAAACCATGCTTTTCTTTTTTATCTATGATGCACGGATAGGCATATTAGATAGGACACATGTATGATATCACAATATGATTATTTTAAAATATATAGGATACAACACATATAAAATATATATTATTATATATTAATATTTATATAATATAAAAAATGTGTATTTATAATTTTGATTAAAATTTATAAATATTAAATATATAATTATTATAATTATTAATTATTTTACAAATTCAAATTAAAAATATATTTATTGTATATTATTAAAAATAAATAAATTATAAATCATTTTATCATAAATTATTTTTTATAATTTATAAATAAAAATAATATTATTAATTTCATTTCTTCTTTAAAATTATCTATATAAAAGATAATTTTTATTTACGATTCATTAAGGACCAATATTTTTATGTTTCTATATTAAACATGTTTATATATTTTATTTAACTGTAATAAATATTTTATAATTTTTTAAAAATTTAAATACTTTATCAATATGTATTATCAATAAGTATTGGTAAAATATTTGAGAGTATCGAAATTGAATAAAATTTTTATAATATTTTATAAGATAAGATACTTCATCGACACGAATTAGTGAAGTATCCAAGAATATCATATCAAATACGGGTACGTGAAACAAATTGATGTTTCCATACTTTATAATTTTTTATAAATATTTTAGAAGTCTACAATTAACGCACGAGTCTAAGTACTATGCCAATTCATATGTTATATTGATTTGGCAGTAAAATATAAAGCCAAAATTACTCCGCTTAATCAACCGAGCATAGCCTGTAAAAATGTTGTGACTTTTATTCATATAAACAGGTGATTACTTAGGCTAAACATTTTCCTTTTATATTAAATAAATTCTCCAGTTTCGGCTGTGGTGGCTGCTGGAGTTGTAGTGCTGTTGATGGTTTTGGCTTGCTGCTTCTCGAGAAAGATATTTTGGAGCAAGAATCCAACCCATCGGATTATTGAGGGGTTTTTGAAGGATCATGGGCCCCTTCCTACAGCTAGGTACAATTACTCAGAGGTTAAGAAAATGACCAACTCTTTTAGAAACAAATTAGGCCAAGGGGGATTTGGTAGTGTATACAAAGGGAAGCTACAAGATGGACGTGTTGTTGCAGTGAAGATTTTAAGTAAATCAGATGGCAATGGAGAAGATTTCATTAATGAAGTTGCAAGTATTAGCAGGACTGCACATGTTAACATTGTTAGACTTTTGGGATTCTGTCTGGACAATTCTAAACGAGCTCTAATATATGAGTTTATGCCTAATGGATCTCTTGACAAGTTTATATATGAAGACAAAAATCCACTACAATTTACTCATCAATTGGACTGCAAAATACTGTATGATATTGCAATTGGCATTGCACGTGGATTAGAGTACTTACACAGAGGTTGCAACACTAGAATCTTGCATTTTGACATTAAACCTCACAACATATTACTAGATGAGGATTTCTGTCCCAAAATATCAGATTTTGGACTTGCAAAATTATGTCCAAAAAAAGAAAGTGCCGTATCAATATTTGGTGCTAGAGGAACTGCGGGCTATATTGCGCCAGAAGTTTTTTCGAGAAATTTCGGTGTAGTATCACACAAGTCAGATGTTTATAGCTATGGAATGATGATCTTAGAAATGGTTGGAATGAAAAATAATATCAAAGTTGAAGTAAACCGGTCGAGTGAAATATATTTTCCTCACTGGATTTACAATCGTCTTGAATCAGATCAAGAACTTGGTTTACGAAATATAAGAAATGAAAGTGATGACAACACGATGAGAAAGATGACAATAGTGGGCTTATGGTGTATACAAACGTACCCTTCAATTCGCCCAGCCATTAGTAAAGTGGTGGAAATGTTAGAAAGTAAAGTTGAGTTATTGCAAATTCCACCTAAACCTTGTTTGTCTTCTCCTTCAACCTCTCCGATTCATTTGTCATGCGAGACACTATAGTGTATGAAAAATACTATTATGTAGTCTATTTTGTAGTATATTGCATATCAATATCTAGTATTTTTTGCTTTTTGTTTAACTTGATGAATTGATATGTAACTGTTTTATAACGTGTAAGGTGCTACATCAGAACAATTCATACTTTATATATGCTTTTGATAGCTTTGTAGTGTTAATGTGTAAGATGTGGTGCCTATTTCAAGATAGATCATATTGTCGTTCTATTTTTATTTCCTTACAAATTCCAATTCGCATTAGCATGTCTTTGTTAATCACTTTAAGGTAGAAGATAAATCACTTCTAGTCTCACCACACTCTTAGGAAGAGGATAAGAGAATTGAAAGCAAATTAAAGAGAGCATTTAGGCTTTTGAGAAAAAGAATTTAGAGAGAAATTATCAAACAAAATTTGAACATATGATCAAAAGTTCATATAAAATGGACAAAACTACAATATATAGAATTTAGTTGGCTTATGACGCATGCTAGACTAACCATGGTTAAGTCATAGTTAGCTATCTTATACTCAAGTTAACTAACTGAAGTTAAATATTTACAAGTCTAGTTAGTTGTCTAAAAGTTTATGGAACAAGTTAAGCTAATTCTAATTTAAAAATAACCTAAGTTAAGTTCACTCCAATTACCTAATCTAATCATTACAACTACTTGACTAATAATCAATTTTAACAAGTTTGTTGAAATGCCATTATCTAAGCCATATGACTTAAGTTGTAGCTTAGATGGTAAATTTGACATGATTTGGACGTTCAAACCACTTGCATGGGCAAGTGGACATCTAAACCTATGGGCCATAAAAAAAGGTTTGGGTCATCCAAACCCAAATAAGTCTAACAAGACTTTACTAGTTACATCTTCTCTAATCTACTGATTATATCCTTAAATAATACAAGGACAAAATTACCTACACTACTTGATCCAAAATATAAGGCCAAAACTACAGTACTATAATCACTACTAAAATGAATTTATAAGTAGGAAAAAATTATATAACAATAGTAGAAGTCCTTTAAGGTAGGATAAGCCTCCAAAGGTAGGGTATCCTACAAAATAAGGGTAAATGCCCTACAATTCTTCAAACCAACTTTATCATCCTCCACCCTTCCTCGTCTTATCTCTTTTGAAGGAATCCTTGAGAAGTAGGTTTCCATCAAGTAATGACATGAATTATTTGAATATATGATTAATTGTATGTTTGGGCTTGTAATTATATGATCTAAGGTCCTTATGGGTTCCCGTGGGAAACCCTAAGAGAGCATATTGTGATAGTTGTGTGAAGATACTTGTTAATATATGTAAATTGCATGACTCATGTCGGGTGTGAACACTTTAGAGGGGTCTTAGTGGTGTTCTCGTCGGGTGCGAGCTCAATCATGTCAGGCATGATCCAAACAGAGACCAATGTGGACCTTAGGATGACTTACGCTGAGCATGAGTCATGTGTCGTTGGACATCGTCCTACTTACGAACTTTTTGTTGTTCTTCCGTTGATTTCAATGTTGTAGCTATTGCATTGTGATGCTGATGTGAATGTTGATTGATATCTATATATGAATATATGAACATAAATGATATGGGAAATGTGAAACTATATATGAGGCCATGCGAATGTAATACATTGGGTTTGTTTGACATGCATTATTAGCGTAAAATGTGTTTTTGGGATACGATATGAAATACACCGCCAGGGAAGGTCCCTTGTGTAAAAGTTTGGGAACCAATTTTGGAGATAGCTCGATTTGGGAAGTCTCAATCCTACCCTCATGTGCATGAGACATATCTTGTGTGACTTAGTTATCCTGACCAATCCTAGTAGTATATCTTTTTAGTGAGAGTGTGTTGAGGATGTGATCTGACATGTATTCTTAGACTACTTTACGTGTATTGTTAGTGACAATGTATAAGCATGATATTTAATTTATGCCACATGCATGATAATATGTAATTCATATCCATTGCATATGTTATCTATTATTGTTTATTATGCTATGAATGGACAAAAAGTGATGAAAATATTTATTTGTGTATGTTATGTCTTGTTGTATATTTGTTTGTGTGGTTATCTGGTGTCATTCCTATACCATAAGTCAGAGTGAGATGTTTCTCTCTCCCTTATCTTGTTGGTTGTTGTTCTTATGATTTCTATAGGTAATCATCAACATGATATTGAAGATGTTGGTGATAAGGCTTAGCCTTTATGTTAGATTACTCTGATAGTACATGTGACATTGAACCATAGTTAGGATTAGATTAGGAATCTTTTTCATGTTGTTTAGTTGGAGACTATTATTTTAATTTCTTTATAATTCAGTTATTTCTGTTATGTTTTTTAGTTAAATGACAATATGATTCTCTTTATTTATATGAATTTTGAGTTCATTTATTTTGTACGAGGCATTTCAGTTTATTTTCTTTAATTATGTATTATGGCATGTAGGGTAAAGAATGTCACATATATTACAAGCCACATTACATTATACCTACTTGAAATTGGGTAAAAATTTGTAAAATTTGATTATATATAGGAGATATTCAATTATGCTAAAGTGATATTGGATTATGTTGAAATGGTATTGAATTATACTTACTTGATGCTTATATATATGTCCATGAGGCTGGGTGGTGGTACAATCAATTATGCAGACTAACATAATTGATTAAGCTAATATATTATGTATGAAAAAAATATAATCTCACTTCAATATAATATAAGAGGAGGTAAAATAGTAAAATTATAACTATATAAAATATAATTTTAAAATATTAATTTTTTTTTATATTTTACTTAATTTCACCGTACCAAATAATTACAGTTTTCACTTTATTTTTTTTATTTATATTTCAATTCCTCCAACTCCTCGTACCTCAAAACTTTGTCTTAAAGATGACCAAGATTCTTTTATTTTATTTTTAACTCTTATATGTAGATACTCGTAATATTATATACATTTTATATCTCTCACTCTATATGATGTTATGTATATTTATCTCTCTTTTTCATACTAACATGACAATTTTTATTTATTAACTTATAATTTTTTTATATATAAATTTTAGGGAAAAATCATTTTTAAAATAATTTTAATCCATTTATAAAAAAAAAATGGGTCTCTCAGCCTCGTAAAAGAGGGGTGTGCATTGAATGCAATGTTTTTTTCTATATCGCATATATTCCATTTCCACACAATCCTGTTGACGTCCGATAGGGTTATTATGAGGAGAATTTTCGTTCTTAAAAACTTACCTTTCCTAATAGGACTCAGTCAAAAACGGCTGCATCAAATTCAAAATGCAGTGGTGGAAAATATGAAAGTCGTTTCGTTTCTTTTGCTTGTGTTGTTGCTAACATCTTCAGGGTGGCCTCTCTGTTTCAGCACTTGTCTCTGAGCCCAATAGTATTGTAGATGGTTGCGCTTCATGCGTGTGGCGTGGTCTTGTTTGCATGGGTCGTGCAAGCGGTATCGGGTGGGAGCTGCCCCTCTTTGATTGGCTGCGGCAATATCGGTAACATCACTTTTCCTTTCACCGACACACGTCATCCTCACTGTGGCATACTGGTGATATATGGCTGTGATGAGAAGGAACCAGAGACCAAAAAAACCATTAAAAATAACAACCGATGGTTCGATATTGTAAGGCTTGAGGAGCAGTTTTCGATTGTCATTAGAGACGATAAACTCCACGACCTCTTGCTACAAAGAAGTTGCGAGACCTTCGACCAGCAAAAAACTGCTTTCACAGTCAACACACCTTTGGCCCTCTCTCATGTAAACTATAACATAGACATATTCAGATGTAAACACGCCCTCCACGATCCGCCACACAATTATGTTTCTAATTCTACACTTTGCAAAAATGACACACTCTATTCCAGGTTCGTAATTGACCCCTCCAGAGACAATCATGATATCAAAGGATGTTCAATGGTTCGGCTTCCAACCACCGCCCAGGTTAGCCAGCTTCAGCTTAATCACACTGACCTTTTCAATATCTTAACGGATGAAATCGCCGTCCAAATAGAGTTAACTCGGGATTGTTCTACTTGTCACTTTGCCCACGCTGGCCAATGTCGCCTTGACAACACCGGAAAATTTTATTGTCACAAAGGTAAGGGCCTAACTAGTAACTACTAATAAATTCATGATTCTTTTCCTGTACTAAGAAATATTTGCATCTTCTGTTCATCTTTCTAATTTATTATAATTTCCAATTTTGCAGGGAAATCTATAAAGACTCGTCTTATAGTGGCAAGTATGTAATAAATCTCAGCTATCCTTATCTAATAATTTTATGAACTTATATATCAGATCAAGCTAAATTATAATTTATTCGATAGAAGGGTGTATGTTTTTTATTTTAATTTTAATTGATAGTCATTTTAAAATATTAAGTGTAATGAAATATTTATAATATCCTATATATTAATCAGACTAATTTTTTAAGATTTTTCAAAATTAAAAGTTTCAAACAAGATCTTTATAGGTGTGTGTATATATATAAGTACTTATGACTTACAAATAAATTTTGAAGGTGTATCTGGCGCTGGAGCCGTAGGAGTTGTGATATTTCTGGTTTGGTGCATTAGAAGAAGGTTTTACAAGAATAAAAACCCCACCCACCAAATAATCGAGATGTTTCTGAACACCCACGGTCACCTTGCAGCCAATAGATACAGTTATTCAGAGATAAAGAAGGCCACCAACTCCTTCAAAAACAAATTGGGTGAAGGAGGGTATGGTAGTGTTTACAAGGGGAGGCTACATGATGGAAGTCTTGTGGCTGTAAAAGTTTTAAGCGACTCCAAAGGTAACGGCGAGGAATTTATCAATGAAGTTGCTAGCATCAGTGTCACTTCTCATGTTAACATCGTTACTTTACTCGGATTTTGTCTACAAGGTTCCAAAAGAGCTTTGATTTACAAGTACATGCCCAATGGCTCACTTGAGAAGTTCATATATGAAGAAAAGGATCCACTCAAGCTCAGTCTTCAATTAAGTTGCAAAACCATCTATAATATTGCAATTGGCGTTGCTCGTGGATTAGAGTACTTACACAGAGGTTGCAATACTAAAATCTTGCATTTTGATATAAAACCTCACAATATATTGCTAGATGAGGATTTCTGCCCAAAGATTTCAGATTTTGGGCTAGCTAAAATATGTCCACAAAAAGAAAGCATTGTATCCTTATTGGGAACCAGGGGCACTGCGGGATACATTGCTCCTGAGGTTTTCTCTAGAAATTTTGGAGGAGTCTCCCATAAATCAGATGTATACAGCTACGGAATGATGGTTTTGGAAATGGTTGGGGGAAGGATGAATAACAATGTTGAAGTTGAATGTTCAAGTGAAATATATTTCCCACATTGGGTTTACAAGCGTCTTGAACTGAATCAGGAGCCTAGTTTGCGAAGCATAAAAAATGAAACTGATAAAGAAATGATACGAAAGTTGATTATAGTGAGCTTATGGTGCATCCAAACAGACCCTTCAAATAGGCCAGCAATGAGGAATGTGGTAGATATGATGGAAGGAAGCATGGAGTCCTTGCAAATACCACCAAAACCTTATCTCTCTTCACCTCCGAGATCCTCAGATCACAACACCCACACATCTCAGACTACGTTTCCTTCAGAGTACTAATTATTTTCGGCAGCATATCACTAATAAACTTCATCTATTATGTAAGTCGTGCACATAATTAAAAGATAAGAAATAATTGCTGTCTAAAGAGTGTGGTGAATATTAATGTTTGCAGTATTGTTCAAAATGTTACAAGACTTTCTGTTATTGTTTGGTAAGGGTATTGTCCACCAATACTGTCTATGCATATGATAACAAACGTTACAACGGTAAACGTAAAACGGGGAGAAAATTAACTACATATTTAAACTAAAAGCTTTCAAGTTTCAACGTAAAAGGTAGATACTAATAAATTGAATTAAACATGTGAGAGAGGGTACGCCATGCGTGTCAGAAGTTCGTTTTAGTACGGATTGCAGAACGAGGGAGCTTCGCTAGACTCACCTAAGTTCTGAAAATTTCTTAAGACAGTAGTAATAAAATATTAATTCACCATTATTTCAGAAATTAAATATAAACAACTGGAGTCCAAATCTATCTTTTTCAACTCCGTTTTTCGCCCTCTACTGGTCATTTCTCGATGCAAAGCTATATAAAAAAATCAAGAGCAAGAGGAAGAAAGAGCTCAAGGATTGGAGAAAGAGAAATATTTAATGCATCGTTTAAAAAAGGGACAACACGTGCAAGTAAGTCCAAAAATAAAATGAAGCCGATCATCGATCTATAATACTATAATTCAACTCAGAATGGCACAGTACTCAACAATAATTCTACTTCTAATATTTCATTTTCTTCATCATGTAGTACTATCTTCTTTGTTAAACGAAGAAATTGCTTTTACTTAAAGAAGAATTAAATATGTGCACCACTGGGCAGTTTAATAATGAAGAATGAGATAGAATGCATTGAATATTATATTTAAAATTTATTATTGTTATCGTAATTCTTATTAATGAAATAAAATAAATTAAATATTTTTTTACTCAAATTATTTTCTATAAAATAATAAAAATCTAAGAGCATGTTTTATTCACGTTAATTTTAATTGGATGTGGGATAGGTAGTTACTTTTGCATCTATTTTGATTTGATTTTTGTTTGAAGAGACATGAAATCAAACATACCCTAATTTACATGTATCAATTAATGTAAAGTATTTTTTCAGAAATAATAAGTTTTGAGTTTATCTTTACAAATTTTAAATATAAACATGTTTATATGGTTAATTAATTGAAAATCATGTAAAGTATAATTTTTAAGAAATCTTTGGGAAAAAATTACTATTAATGACAATATACAAAAAACTTGATTAAATTGTTCACTTGGTTTCTATAACTCTTATTTTTAGTTTTCATATGAGAAAATTATAAGTTTTAGTTGTACCCCCACGCAATCTTTTGTGGTGATTTATTACTGTTACAAAGTTTTTGTAGCTGTTATAAAATTACACCTAGTAACAGTACTTATATCATCAATTATTTATTAGATTAAGATAATTTACTTTAATTAAAAATATATTTTTATAATTTTTTACGCCATTTAACTTTTATAATTAAAATATTTTATTTTAATCTTCATACATATCATTATATTTCTTTTAGTCTATGTAGTTTATTTTGTAAGTTGACAGTGATTAAAAGAAAAAAAAATCTTCAATTATAGAGCTAAAACATTAAGTTTATAAAATTAAAAATTGTAAAGAGCAAAAATGTAAATTAAATTAAAAGAAATTTATTGTGCAGAGTGAAGGAGAGAATCGTCTTTGCAGTGGAAGGTAACAGGAAAAAGTTGCTTATTATAGTCTTTTGAGGTGTCTGAATCCCCAAACCACCCATGGCAAGTAGTGCATTAAAGCGACATTAAGCTCTCTATTTTTAACGATCCAAATTATTACCTCCTCTCTCTCTCACACCAACAACAATGGGAGCAACGCTCATTGCTACCCTTCTGCTTCTCCATTTTCTTCTTCTCACGGTTCAAGGTAGTAACCCAGATTTGGACGCTCTGGTAGCCTTCAAAACCGCTTCAGACACGTCCCAAAAGCTCACCACATGGAACACCAGCACCACCAACCCCTGTTCGTGGAGCGGCGTCTCCTGCACTCGCCACCGAGTCTCGCGACTCGTTCTCGAAAACCTAAACCTCCAAGGCTCCATTCACCCCTTAACGTCCTTAACTCACCTCCGAGTTATCAGCCTCAAAGGAAACCGTTTCTCCGGTCCCCTCCCCAACCTCTCCAACCTCACCGCTCTCAAGCTCCTCTTTTTATCCAACAACCACTTCTCCGGCGACTTTCCGCCCTCCCTCACGTCGCTCTCCCGCCTCTACCGCCTCGATCTCTCCAACAACAACCTCTCCGGCGAGCTTCCGGCCACGCTCACCCACTTCACCCACCTCCTCACTCTCCGCCTCGACGCAAACAACTTCTCCGGCCACATTCCCGACGTCAACCTTCCCACCCTCCAAGACTTCAACGTCTCCGGTAACCGCCTCTCCGGCGAGATACCCAAAGCCTTGTCAACTTTCCCCGATTCCTCATTCGGGCAAAATCCGTTTCTCTGCGGCGCCCCATTAAAAAAATGCGCATCAGACCCGACCAAACCGGGATCCGAAGGTGCCATCGCTTCACCATTGTCACCCCAAAACAACATTCCCCCAACAACTACCGTATCCTCTTCCCCGAGTTCAATGCCGAAAACAACAACATCAAGTAGTAAAAATCACGAGAAGGGTGGTTCTAAAATAAGCCCGGTGGCTCTTATAGCTATTATAGTGGGTGATGTTTTGGTTCTTGGTTTAGTTTCTTTGCTTTTGTACTGCTACTTCTGGAGGAACTACTCTGCGAAGCTGAAGGAGGGGAAGGGGTCGAAGCTTTTCGAGAGTGAAAAGATTATTTATTCATCGAGTCCTTACCCTGCTCAGGGAGGTTTTGAGAGGGGTCGAATGGTGTTCTTCGAAGGGGAGAAAAGGTTTGAGCTTGAGGACTTGCTGCGAGCCTCTGCGGAAATGCTTGGGAAGGGTGGGTTCGGGACTGCGTACAAAGCGGTTCTCGATGACGGGAACGTGGTTGCGGTGAAGAGGCTGAAGGACGCGCAGATAACAGGAAAGAGGGAGTTCGAGCAGCACATGGAGGTGTTGGGAAGGCTGAGACACCCCAACGTTGTTAGCTTGAGGGCTTACTATTTCGCGCGCGAGGAGAAGTTGCTCGTTTATGATTACATGCCCAATGCCACCTTGTTCTGGCTCCTCCACGGTACCTACCTATATGTCTTTTCGTTTGCATCTTCATGCTTCTTTCTCTTTGTTTGTTTCTTACTTTCTTTGACCTAGCTCACATGAACGAAATAAAACAAAGTTTTACATTTATTTTTGTTCTTTAGTTGCCTGCCCTCAGTTCAGTTGAAGAGTGGGTTATCTGCTTTGAAATTAATTTTCTTTGCACCCGCCCTCAAGGGCCATACCTCAACAGAGTCACCCATGTCATGTAGGTTACCCACTTACCCGTGTGCGTCATAAATGATAGTTCTCTTCCTGAGGGTACGAGATTCCTCCCTTGTAGGTTACTTGTGCATCAATATAGCTAGTTTTGATATGCTGCATTTTTTTAAGTTTTTATCATCAACTGTGCTTTGGAGGGTTTCTTTTCTTTAGGATTAGGATGATTCCTTCTCCTCCTACCCTAAACGCTGTACTTTGTAATGCACTTTTTTTTTCATAATTTAGAATCAGAATAGTTCAACATACTAAGGATTAGATTAACCTCTTGGGACACATACATTATATTTTTATAATATATTATTTGTAGCAATTGCAGACAAAGTAACTGTCAAGTGTGCAGTAGGTGCACAATGATAACCCCTGAGAATCGGGACATTGCATTGTACCATGCAGAGTGATAGTGAATTATCTTGGACTGCTTTTCATTATTAAAAAATAAAAAATAAAGAAAAGAGAAGTATTTTGCTTTATGTTGTTTTGCTGAGCAACATTTGGACTTTTGCTTTATCTTTTGTTAGTTGAATGTGGAAAAAGTGGAGGGTAGCCCCTTAACAGTTAACATTAGAGTTATTGTGAATAATGAATATTGGTGTGAAATGTGTAATTTAATGAAAAGTGATTCCGATTTCCGACAGGGAACCGAGGACCCGGAAGGACCCCACTGGACTGGACCACGAGGCTGAAGATAGCAGCTGGTGCGGCCCGAGGCGTGGGCTTCATTCACAGCTCCTGCAAGTCCCTTAGGCTCACCCACGGTAACATCAAATCCACCAACGTCTTACTCGACAAGCACGGCAACGCGCGGGTATCCGATTTTGGGCTCTCGGTGTTCGCGGGCCCAGGCCCAGGCCCACTGGGAGGGAGGTCGAACGGGTACCGCGCGCCCGAGGCATACGATGGTCGAAAACAGACCCACAAGTCTGACGTGTACTCCTTCGGCGTGCTCTTGCTGGAGCTGCTCACGGGGAAGTGCCCCTCCGTGGTGGAGAGTGCAGGGAGTGCTTACGGTGGGGTCGTGGATCTACCGCGGTGGGTCCAATCAGTGGTGAGGGAGGAGTGGACCGCTGAGGTGTTTGACTTGGAACTTATGAGGTATAAAGATATCGAGGAGGAGATGGTGGGGCTGCTTCAGATTGCCATGTCGTGTACTGCACCTGCACCGGATCAACGCCCCAGGATGACCCACGTCATTAAGATGATTGAGGAGTTGCGTGGGGTCGAGGTGTCACCTTCTCATGACACGTTGGATTCGGTTTCTGAGTCACCTTCCTTGTCTGAAGATGCGTGTGGAACGAGTCAGTGAACTAGCTTGTGTGGTAGAGTGGTAGTAGTATTATTGTAAATCAGATTATTGGGGGGTTTTGATTTTCTCATTATTTTTATTTAATCTCCTAGTATTTGTTTTTCCCTAATTCCTGAATGCCAAGATAAATTTTCGCTCAACATTTTCGGCTAATTAAATGATGTTTAATGGAGGCCAAGGTTCTTCTTTCCTAAATTTGTTGACTAGTAGCATGTCTTGGAATAGGTTCACGTGGATTAATTAGCATTTGATTGGGATTTGTGATGTCTCTTTTGACCGCACCGCCTTTTGCATTTTCTCCTGCTTCCATGTATCTTGGATGGTTTTGGATTCTTGACATCATGTTATCAAGATATAAGATCCAATAGTAAAACTCATTAACAGAGATCCAATGGTATTTGATGAAACAAGTTCTACATTCTACACCGGAGGTAATTAAAAGGCTTACATGCTAAAAGAATGAATTGAATAATTGGTTATACTTGTGTTTTTCACCTACCGTAGTATTAGAAATGCATAACCATAGGTGCAATCTTGATGAGCTTTGACAGAGTACTAGGAGCGAACTTCCTAGCAAACAGAAAACAAGCATTGGTGCTGTCTCCGTTATACTTGCATTTATGATTCCTTAAACTCTCCAAGAACTTAACAGTAATATCTGATTTCAAAAATTTAGATGGGTGAGGACCACCCTTTGACCAGTCAACCCAAGTCAAACTCCTATTTGAATTCCCCTCCCAGAACTTGATGCTCACGTACGTTGGCAAGTAATGTTCATCTGCGTAACATGACCCTCTGCAGTACTCTTGAAAAACTGGGAAGTATTTTCTGTCAGATACTACATCGAGTGCAAGCCCTCTGTCCATTTCAAACCATTGGTACCCTTTTCTCCATTGCTTGAGGGAGATCTCGGGCAACATCTGGATGCTGTAACGGCCTCGGCCAACAGGACTGGGATCATCAAAAGCCATGACATAGTTTTGGGTAGAGTTCATCAAGTAAGAGTAGATGGTTGAGAAGTTGAAGAGTGGTATGCAGGATTCTGACAACAGTACAAAACGTTGGTTTGAGATGTCAAGAAGTGCATTCGCCAGCAAGCGACGCTCTGCTTCGACCATGTTCACGTTACCCCATTCCACTTCCTGCATTATGTCATACCAGATCATGAGTATTCATCATTGTTTCTTTCTAAATTGAAGTAAATTACTGGAATTAGAATGACAAGTCTTAATCAACTCCATGGCCTAATTGGAAACAGATAGGCACAAATGGAAATGAAGTAAAAACCAGGACCCTATATTTATGTGGACAATTTTCTTCGAGCCTTAAGACTCTTTATTTTTCTTGAGGTTGTAATAATGTATCCGCTCAAATGATGAGTACTTTTTGATAAGAAAATAAATTAATCCATATGATAAGAAATTGACGTAACATAATGTACAATTTACACAAAAAAAAAGGTAGTAATTATCATTGTCCTTTTATCAATTGGGATTTGCTGATTTATTTTGGAATGTTTCCCTAAACCAGTAGCAGCTAGCTGTTACCAGTTAATGTGGGGGGAGGGGGCGGCATGAACTATTATTTTAAATGCTAACTAATATATGGGACTGTTTGTAAATATCATTTTATTTTCAATCGGATGTCCATTATAACGTCTAGATTCTACTGATCCTAAAAAACCAAAAAAATAAATGCTGAAGAATGCTCAAGGTTAGATCACGTTTTATACTTTTTCCATTAAAAAAAAATGAAATATTGAAGACTGGGGACAAGGGAGCATATGAGCTTCAGCATCACTATAAATTATCTAGCTTAGCCTTTTCCTCTAACAAATCTAGTTCTAATAAGGAGTTTTGATGGATACCTATCGAAAGGAGTTGCACTTGGAAGAGTTTGAGAAAAATTAATAAACTAGGTATATTTTGTATTCAGGTTTTTGTTGACCATGGCAATAGTAAAGCATTTATATTTTTCGTTATTCTTTATAATTTGAGACTTTGTTTGATTTTTTTAATATTATTTTTGGTTGGACATTTTCTCCTCAAAATGAGTCATAATGAATTTTAGATTTATTATATAAATAGGTTAAATATTGATTTTGTAATCAGTTTTGTTTCAATTAGGAAAGTGCCACATTCTTACCTGATACCGCATCAATTGTAAATGTTACCAAAGATAACCATCACTTAACTTTTTGAAAACATATAGATAATTAACAAAAATTGCATAATGATAAGTTCTAAATTTTGAAGAGTTAAAAAAAATATATTTTTTACAAAGACTAAAATCAAATCATGTTCTTAATACATAATAGTAAATTCTAAATTAAAGAGAAAAAAATTCAGACTAAAATCAAATAATGCTCATGTGAAAGATTTAATCCAATAGTCAGTTTTGTTCTGTTCTATGTTCTATTTAATTCTGTCTTTCCCTCCTCGTTTTTCTTTATTTGTCCTTTCTATTAAGCAATTTACACAGCTACAAATATAAGCATATAACAAGAGATTTGTATAGGAGCATACATGTCCTATGATTTTATCCAAGCAATAAAAAATTCCATATTTGGCAATAAACAAATAGTAAATGTAACAAGTGACTGAGGAAGAAACCAACTGACCTTACTGGGAATTCTCCGAGCCTGAAACACTGGACTCTCCGGGCGTGATGCATTGTATGAAGGATTGGAATGCACGTAAATTGAGTAATATCCTTCATGCCCTTTGAAGAATTGCTCCCACAAAGGTGCCAAAAACACAGGACCCCTTGTCAAGAACATGAAGGCAACTTTTGGAACACGATCAAACGGGTAATCAGGGATCTTTGCACTCATTGAAGCTCTCCATAGCAATTCCTCATCATCCATATCATGCACAACATGAGGTGGCTTAAGGAACTCCTTCAATCCTACGTGAGTATCAATTTGAGTTTGAGTTTGAGTTTGAGTTTGAGTTTGAATTTGTGTTCGAGTTTTAGTTTCATTATATACTTCTGGTTCTATAGTTGTTGGTGGCAAGGGTGGCGTTCGTGGAAAGGAAGAGAGAGACAACTGAGTGAATTGTAGGCTAAAGTTGCAGTCTTTAAGATAGAAACTAAAGATAACTCCAATGGTTACACCAAAGGCCAAAATTAGGATATAGGTAAGAATCTGAACAAAGTGGAATTGAGCATTCATAAGCTTGGAAACAGAGTTTAAGGGGTATTGGTTATTTGGGCACTTCATTTTGTGGGGATAAAAACACAAATTTCCCTAATAATTCTGTAATATGGGTATATATGATGGGCACCCAATTTAAAAACTTGTGAAGAAAATTAATTAGAAATAAGTGTGTGAACTAATGAAACACTTAAAACTATATCAGCAACAAACTTGCCTTCTGATTAAAATATCCCTATGGTCATAAGACCATAACCAACAATATCAAATGGAAGTGTTTTGGATACAATAAGGATCACCTAGTGTGTGAACTTACTGATCCAAAATATGATGAAAACTGCAAGCAGAAGGTGATAGAGAAAGAACAGAATGAAAGCTGTGAAAGTCCAGAGAGAAAGGTAGAAGAAAAGGCTCAATTTTAAGCCACAAAGAGAGGCTTGAACAGGAGTTGATGGCTTTGGAATTGGATTGGAGAGTTTTTCTTTTTCCGTCTCCTCGATGCCCACTTTATACGTATATGCCTTTTGTTTTGTGCTATCCTAGAAATAATAACAGCTTTGTTGAAAAGAGCCTGCCAAAGAGAGAAACAGTAATAGCTGGTTTTGGAAACCTGTAGAATATTATTTATAAATTCGTTACAAGAAACCAATTTATATATTACGCGTCTGATTGGAAGTGGAAAATTATTAATTATTGCGTTGAAACTTACAAGGAAAATGCAGTTTGTATCTGGTGCCATCTGTTGCTGGTACAGTGTGCAATGTTGAAACGACAAAGACGTTTCCTATGTGGAATTTTGGACATTGAAAACGTATGTAACGACGAAGACCAAGTTATGTAGCCGCCGAGCAAAATAGTAGTTTTCAACACGTTCGTTTGTTACGTGTTTGGATGCTACGGTTTCGACCATTCCATTTCTGTTGACCCTTCAAAGAAGAGAGGTGCCTTTCTCAAGTGCCTCAAAAATGAGACCACAAACAAAGAAGGCACCCTCCAAGACTTTTCAACCAAATTTACATTCAACGATCAAAACCAATTCGCTGAAAATGATGCGAGTGAATTAATGCAAAAATTAGGAAAAAGTTTGTAGGGGTATAGGGTATAAATAATCATATATTGTGAGAGTGTTTAGGAGTTATAAAAATTGCAATTGTGATCATGAATATGTATAAATTAGGCGCAAACTTAAATGCAAAATGAACTACAATGCAAATTATTAAAATGTTATTCACTCCATATTTTTTTTCATAATCATTTTGACAGTATTTTTTTATATTTTTTTCTTATTGTCACTTTTCTAAAATTAACTTATAATTTTTTTTCTCACTCTTATCTTTGATAATTAATGTATGTTTATTAAATAATATGTCTATTTATTTCTAATGTACTACTTATTTCTTCTTCAACTACTTATATGAAGTCAATGTTGCATTTATGAGGGTAACATAATTCTAACAATATTATTCATCCATGAATTTTTTTTTTCTTTTCACAATATTCATTCAAAAATTAGGATACCCAAAAGACACTATTTACTTAAAAATTTGATTAAATGAAATATGTTACAGTTCACATATGTATTCTAATAATCAATGCATTAATTCATAGATTTCTCAAAAAGCGCATAAAAACAATAAATATACACAAATTAACAGTATCGAAACTTGAATGCAAATAAAATAAAATAAAATATATAACATGAAAATAAGTAATAAATATTTTTAAAAATTAAAATATCAATCATTTTTTTAAATCTTGTACAAAAATCCTAAATAACTATGAAAAAAAAAAAAGCATAGGAAATACCACTTTTATTATATGTGTTCTAACAATAAATATAGACAAAGACTAGTGTAAAAAACATATATAAGTCTAACAGTGTGTGTTTTACTGACTACACAGAGTATTGGACATCTACGTAGGAAATAAAATGTTAGAATAAGGAATTCTGTCTAGTTCATCCCAAATGAACATTGTGTATTAGATTAAATTAGACTAAATCCAATAGTTAGAAAAAAGTTTCCCACCATGGAAGACTTATTTAGGTGTCCCACCCTAGATTCCGTCAAAAACGTCACAGTATTGCCTTTGTACCGGGTCATAACTATCTAATAGGTTATTATTAAGATTATTTATTTTCAATTTTACTTTCAACTTTTTTAATTTCTTTCTTCGTCATATTTATTACTTTTTTTTACTCTTTTTTCTTTTTCATCCACCCAAAATTAGGGTTTAGGGTTTTCCATATCCAATTTGTGTATTGAATATTGATACATCACCGTCATTCTATTATTATTACTTTTTATTTTCATTATGTTTCCTGTGAACTATTTCCCCTTTTATTCGACTGGCACATTGACAAAGCAATTTCTTTTTTCCACAAACAAATACGCGTGTATACAATCTCGTTATTCCAAATTATTAACAATATCTAAGTTCTTTTTACACAAGAAGAGTAATTACTTCAGAACAATAGTATTATTAGTAAAAAAAATTACTAATATATCATTATTTCCTTTTTAAAATTTTAATTTTAATTACATTTTTAGTCCACTTTGACACGACATTGTTAAATACTATGACTCGATGCTTTGACATTAAAGTAACATAAAATATATGAATTAGAAAATAAAAAAGTAGTGCAAGGGAGATTTGATCTCATGATTTCACACTTTTAGGACGACCAAATTCATTAAACAATTTGACTTATTTACAGTAATGTAAAATTTGTCCGGCTGTCACGTGTCATTGAATGGTACTGTGGATCTATTTTTCTTTACCTACTTTCTTTTTGCATTTTTAATTTTTTATCCGTGCAAACCTAGTTTGCATTATAAATGGTCATTTTGTATTTATGAAAGTGGTAAGCATTGTCTTATTGGCTTGAAACTACTATACGTTTTTAAATTTAATTACTTACAGTTATTTTAATTCTTAAATACATATTATCATGTTAGTTACTATCAAAACTCTAAATATTATATTTTAGTTATATTTTTTATTATTAATTTTGAACAAATTTGATTGTCAACTTGCACTCTCAAACACTTATTTGATAATTTTTTTAAGACTATTGTGACAATACTCTTCAAATTCAAGGCTAGTTACTCATTTACATATAGCATTATTAGCATATAGATTAATTGTGCTTTTGATTTTTTTTTTAATATGTACTTTTAATTTTTAAAGTATTACAATTGTGCAAAATTAATTTTTATTTAATATTAAACCTTTATTATTTTAACTTCAAATTTTAAAATAAAATAAATATAATATTATTTAGTTATATTTTACTAATTTATGTGCAAATTATTTATTGAATTATATAATTCATTTTTAATTCACTATTTACATTATTTTAATTGATTTTATAAATTTAATCTATTCTATGAAAATTCCAATCTAACTAATAAATTTAAGATATTTAATTTTTGTAAAGAGTGATTAAAAATATAAATTTACAAAATATGTACTTGAAATAAATTAATTCTTATCCTGTGAATAAAAGGCTCATCATTTATGGTTAACATAATTAAGCACCTAATCAAGAGTAGACTTGGTTGAACTGAATGAGTTGTTGTTAACACCTCACTATCGAATTTGATTCTCATAAAAAGAAAAGGAAGAAGAAGAAGAAGAAGAAATAATTACATATACTAAAGTTTGTTTAATTTATTTTATCTCTCTCGTACTTATCTTTCCATATCTATCCTACATCTATCAATGAATTTTTTTATAGAAAGCACTGGCAAGAAAGTGAAGAAAAGGATGATTAGGAGCAGAGTATATAAATAAAAGACAGTAGTTCAATAAAAAAATAGAAATGTTATTTTTCCTAAATCCCTGAAAATGAAAGAGTGAGGCTGAGATTAATATACTATTACGATGTTTTCAATGTAAATTATTTTAGGCAGCAATAGAGAGTAAAAGACAACAATCCGTTGCCGCCTAAGTTATGTGTTAATCCGAGGCCAAAATCCCTTTCTTCCGACCAATCATTTCTGAAGCATTTTATGGTATTCCTTTGTTTTTATCTTAGCGATCAAATGTTTATTATAGAAAAAACAAAATAGTTTATAAATTTTTCCAATTACATTAAATTATAACTTCAATTTTGATACATTGTCAATAAAATCATTTTTACATTATCAATTAATTAGAAATTGTCTTTTATATAACTTTTAAAATAATTATTACAAAATACAATAATGTTTAATTATATAACAATTCATATTTAAATAACAATATAAAAACTTATATTGTCAATGTATTTCAATTAAATCGTTAACTAATTTCCTAACAAAAGCTTTCAATATATAATTTTTTCATTATAAGAGATAAACACGCCATCAAAGCTAACAAATTTCAAAACTAATACTAAACATTACTAAATGATCATGATGATAATAACATTGTTAGCCAAAAGATAGACACAAAACAACACACGAATAATCTAACAAGAAGAAAGTCATAGAATACAACAATCTAAAAATTTACCTAATCAGATAAATGAAACATTCACAATAAAACAATAAACTGAATGAAATGAGTTTAATGGAGATGTACTGATTGTATCTTTTAATCACAGATCAATATTTATGTATATTTACTAACTTTTAAAATAAGTACATTTAAAACTATGTCAACTTTATTGATAATTTTTTTATCCAAAACAGTATATCACCGTTAAACCCAAATAGTATAAAAGATTCCACTTTTTAAGCTTAATTTCTATGCATGAATGGTATAATGATCTGTACACTATCGATTAATCAATAAAAAAAATATGATAGATTTAATTTTTAATTATATTTAAAAATTAGTAAATTTATTATATATGATAATTTTCAATTGATTGGCAGTTTAATGTCAATGTATAGATGTGTTTACTTTTCTCATTTTTGACCGATTATAGATAGGAGCAATTATATATATATATATATATATATATATATTATATGAATTATAAACATTCAAGAATGTGATATTTGAAGAATGAACACTTTGATCATGACCTTTCATGCATCATCTGAGGAATCTAATGTACGCCAAACAGAAGCTCTAGATAATTTTGAAAAGGCTTTTGCTGGTGGAAAGCATCACAGATTATTTTCACGAATCACTATTACGCCTTGACTAGAGTCAAGAATTTCAAGATGCCCGTGGGAAATGTTCTTGGTTGATCGATCACAATCGAAAACGTAAACCTAGATGACAACTCGCTGAAAACATTTCAAACGCCTCTAAAGTTTTAAAGTACTCCTCCACTAATCATAGCATGTTACATCAAAGTTCACGAATTTAAACTCTAGTTCACATACAAGTTGTGTCACTAAGCAAATAGAATATAAATCTCCCACAGAGGCAGGCACGCCTTTTTATTTACTTAACTTACTTTCGACAGTACAGTACTGCAATGCCAGCCAGAACACCGGCAATTAGAAATGAAGATTTCCCAATTGGAAATAAACTACCACTAGTGTAAGCCCACATCCATCGAGATAGAAAATGCAGCCCACAGCTACTTTTGAACTTCTGGATTGAAAAATCCTAAGGTAGATGCAGTATGTTCTGTCAGTTCCACGAAATAATAACAGCTAATCTCACAACAAATTCTCCTGATTATTACACAAGGGCTACCTATGTATACAATTATTCCATAGAGTTCCCATTATCTAGGGCCATTTCAATGAAAACAATAAACTTAAAGGATAGAGCCACACATTTTCTCAAAAAATGCAATGGAAGAAGCTGATCGGAAGTTAGCGAGCCAGCCAGTGCAGCTGTTCATACTTATAGTTTACCCACATTGTCAGCAAATGTAACCAAACTGGAACTGAAAGTTTCTAGAGAGAAATCCTGCACATTCTCACAAAAAGTGTCTTAAGTTTCATACAATTTGGAAGCCTGTTATATCATTCATTCAAATATGATTGTTGAACAATTTTCTCAAGACACAAAGTAGAATTGCAATTCCATGAATTATGCACTATTCTACCACCCAAATAATCATTTATGAACACGAAAACATTGAGATGAATGAAAGTAATTGAAACCAAATTTTGAGGAAGGATGCATCTGGTTTACCTTAGGAAAATACAAATATCTATAAAAACATTTATCTTCCACTAAGATGGAAGATAAATGTTTTAAACAATGTTCTCAAGACACAAAGTAGAACTGCTATTCCATGAATTATGCACTATTCTCCCACCCAAATTAATCATATATGAACACAAAAACATTGAGATGCAGGAAAGCAATTAAAACCAAAATTTGAAGCAGTGTTACATCTGGTTTACCTAAGGAAAATACAAATATCTATACAAACATTTATCTTCATAATAGAAATAATAGACATTAGTTATTTTATATCTGTCCATGGTAGATACAGAAACAGGTTGCAAAACTGTATTTTTATTTGTTTCCTTGTGCAGTTGTGCATTAATAACCAATACATGTACATGCATCACAATTCACGCAATGCAGCTTTAAAATAAAATACTAAAATAAACAGGAATACATTGGAGGAGAAACGCAAGTACACCTACATGCGGCAGTGGATTAGTAGTTATCAGGAAGATATAAATTTGGATTTGGATTCTTATCTATAAAATCCATATGCCAAAGGCACAGATTCCAGTCCATGAAAAAAAGCAAATTACGGTTTTGGATAAAAAAACCAATCCATTAAATCAGTTTCGTAAGTAGTTTGGACTGGACCAGTTATGGATTGGATTGGTACAATTGGATTTTTTTCTCACCCTTGCCAAACTAAGGTGTGAATAAAACTAATGTTGGATAACTATAAATACAAGGATACAATATGATGCAATACAGTGTAACAAACAAATGCCACGCATCTTGAAAAACTTAAAGAGACATATATGAACATAAAATTGCTAATGCAAGGCACAGATGAGCAGAGAATGTGTGAGCGAGGAGAAAGAGAAAAGAATGCAGTGAAGTAAAGAGAATAAATCCTAATATGCTCCCATCCACCAGCTAATATTCTACAAAATTTGTGTGCCCGTTTAAATTTAACTTTAATACTCTATTTGGAACCAATCAGTGCCGTGTGTTAGTCTTATTTACGTAGTGTAATACTCCCAGAGTATGTAAAAAAAACTCTAGGAAGAGAAACTAGAGGAAGAGATGCAGAGCATGCAGTGAATAAAAAAATGCCAACTAAGCAAAGAAAGGTGACAAGGCCAGAAATCCTAGGCAGGCACAATGGATATTTCACCAACAGATAACAAGTATTTCTTTCTAACGTATGAGTGTGTTTAAAGCTTAAAGCATATTAGTCATTACCTTTGGTAACTTGTGTTGCTGGGCTAGATGATCCACATGGAGCCTCACATTTGATGATGCAGCAAACCAGGCTCGTCGGTCAACTTCAGAATAAACATATGCAACAATGTCAAACAATGTTTTCGCTCCACCTTCAATTGCTTTCATGATATCGGTTTCTCTACTCCTACGATTCCTGAAAATAATGATAACAATTCACCCAGTTGCTGACTCTGACATAAAATATCAATTGTTAATGTGTTCAGTCAAAGGAAGGAAGTAAATACTTCAGATATTCAGACAGCATATGCTTTGGCCAGAGATTAAATCTCCCGTGCATTGGTATTAAAACATGTGGTGAAAGCTCCAGAAATTTGTAGGTGGTTTTGAAGTATTCCTGTAAATGACAGTAATATTGAGCAAAACGACATCTACTTCACACATATTATTGACATTATGTTCTTTGATAGGGGTGACTACAATTAAGTGTGTGTTTGTTTTTCAGTTACGGTAACCCAAAAGCAACACATGAGTTGCTTTAGCTTTTTTGCATCGGAAAGTGAAAAAAGTCCGTTTAACTAGTTTTGAACGGATTTCCAAACACACACTAAGACAGCTTTCCAATACACCCTGTCATGCCCTAGACTATGAGTGGCAATATAGGTAGTCCAACAACAGATCTAAGATAAGTTTTAATATCATATAATAATTTGGTCTTAAAGCCCAACTTAACCGCATAAAATCGACTTATAAGATGGGAATTACCTAAGCTTTATAAGGACTACATTGGTAATATCTCTAATCGATGAGATTTCAATCCCCTAAGAGCTAACATCCCAGTGGCTGCACTCTACAGTGCTGCACACAACCTTTCTGATTAGTCCCTCCATATGTAGTCATTTCTGAGACACTGACAACCAACTCTGATAAGCAGCAATTATGGCAGACTAGGGGTTACTGCAATTAAGGTGGTTATCCAACAGGAAGAGACAACTGGTGAATCATTGTTGGCAGTCACAGAAAAGGAGGCAGAAGAAGGCCACAAAATGGTGTCACGCACTAGACTATTGGATACTAGATCATAAGGGACTGTCCCATTAATTTTAGAGAAACTTAAGTCAGCAATGCAGAGTAATTGGTCTTACTCCTGGTCTATAATATTCTTCGTGGTGACTTTCATTATCTATAATTTATTGACTAGAACATACACATTTCCAACATACAAGGTCTTTTCGCACTTACAAACATATTTCCACCAGATGTTATGTCCAATGCCGCACTTCCTTGACTGAAACAAAGTAAATTAATAATTCATTAGAGTGGAGTAATTATCAAAAAAACCTTGAATATGAAGTAGGTCTTTGAAAATATTGGAACTGCAAAGAGGAAAAAATCAGAATGGCTATGACATTGGATAATACAACACAAATTCAGCATGCCAAACAAATTCTTTCTCTATATCAAAACTAGCTAGACCGTGTATTCCCTCATCAATTCTTGAAAAAAATCACTTTTGTTAAGTCTAGCAGATTGATCCTCTCCTTCCTATTATAATACTATAATATATGTGTTCTGCCCATATACCTGTATGTCTTTAATAAATTCATTGACCTAGAAAGAAAAGGTGGAATATTTGAAATAAGTAATCTAGTTTTTTAACTTCTAGACAGCAAATAAGCTAATTTCATTAGTCTCATAAACTCAAAAACTTCACCAACTAGTCTAATATACAATATTTTGTTTGTCTTTTTTTATCAAATAAAAGACATAATTAGTAATTAGAATAAAATATTGCATAAACAATTCCACATGCACTTCCAAAAAGGCTTCATAGCCTTAAAATAGTTTAACACATTTCAAGTATCTACAACAATCCACAGTCCAACTAAGACCTTGTTCCAGATAATAAGGTATTCAAATGAAATGAAAGTTTCACGACCATCCAAATATGCATAAATACATACTCATATATGAAAATTGAATGTGTATGCTACATTAAAATTAAAATTTATCTTTGATTAATGTAATATCCATTATACTGTATGGAATCTTACCCCAAACAATGATCACCTACAATCAAGGAATGAGTATTTACATGAAGCAGTGCCATATGACCCTCTGTATGTCCCTGAACCGAACAAAATTTTCAAATTCAGCAGAAAATTGAAGCAATTTTATAGAGAACAAATATTTTCTCACCATACTTATTACTTTAGTACAAACTCAGTTAAGAATTCAAGTAATATTTATTTAATATAACTTGAGATATAGTTTTTTTTATTATTTCGTCAAAAATAGCTACAGTAGACGGTCAAGAATGGATTTTGATTTATGACTCCAAGACACTCCTCCACGTAGAAGTACTTTGGATCTAAAGCAGGGAGAAAGCACAGGTTCACTGTTTGAAGAAACTCTTAAGAACCAACCCAACCTAAAAGCTTAATCTGCTAAAATAAGACACCTGGTGACCTGAATGATTTTTAATATACATCTCAAACAAATCTTTTGTGAAAGTTTTCTATCCTAAAAGCTATGTTAAAAATATTGGATGTGCCATTACCCCAATCATACATATTAAACAAAAATTTCAAATTTACAAATAACATAATGTCTAGAAAATTGAAGTTATTGCAAACCAACTAGGATTATGCATGATAAAAATACCGGTGCAAAAATAGCTTTAAATCTCTGACCACCAATGTTAATGTCTTCATCTCCCTTAATTGAGGTATAACCAAGTGACCAATCATCTGTTATCATGAAATATCAGTTTAACAGATTGGTGAAGTCTTATTTTTGGTACATCATGGGACACTTAAAAAATACAAAAGAAAATTTAGAAACTAATCTGAAAAATTATGTCAGAAACACTGATATAACAGCATATGTTTGTTTATCCTAGCTTTATCATGTGTTGTTATTAAATCAAAATTGACAAGATATTGAAATCCTTATTGCATAAAACTACACTAACCATACCCTTCAGCATCTCTGGCCTAACATATAAATAGCAAATAAATGAAGTATCATGACTAACAAGTATTTTCAAGATAATACCAAAAGTTAGGTTTTGCAACTTTAGTGTGACCATTTTAAGATTCATTGCAAAGTCATGATTGGTGAGTCTTTTACTCAAAACAAAGGTTTTTATGAAATTTCAAGATAGATACAGAATATATTTATTTCACCATGGATGTATGCACTTTAGTTCCTAGAAGCGAAAATTAATTTTATCTGTTCTAGTTTCATAATTATCGAGTGAGGCTATGTTCTGATAAATTCCTCTATATAAACTCTTATAGTAAAAGAAAATAATAAGGTAAGATGAATTGAGTTTCTTCCATAAATTAAAATCAACTTTTGCACCTTAGCTCTTGGATAAGTTAAATGAGAGAGTTCCAATAGAAGTTAAGCACATAAGCTGGTTTCAACTTATGGGAGAAATTTATTTCATTTTACCTTCGTATTTTCTTTCCTTACAAGTGTTTATGGAGAAGTTTATCAAAACAGGAACTTAATAAAAACTAAGGAAAAATACAAGTTTGCAAACTGTCACCGAGAAGATTATAATGAAAATAAAAATTATGTAACCTTTGCTTATGCGATGCATGGTCCTATCATGTGCTAACAAAGTAGCATCAGGATTGCACTTCTGGATAACTGAGAGACCTGCCATAAAGTGAAAATATATTTGAAATGTTAGCTTCCAAAGTACAACAGTTTGTCCATTACAATCAATTACATCTACCAGATAAGAGGAAAAGTGATGATTTACATGAAGCACTTGGGTGCAACAAAGATAAGATTATGTCTTTAGCTGCTTTTTGGTTTTCATTAAGCTTTAATGTGTAACAAAGTAAAAAGGATTATTTATCATGACTACCTCACCATTTTATACTTAGCATAATCTGCCTTAAAAACACAGAAGTCAATAAAGCTCTAGTAAAGACTCACCATCTACATGATCATGGTGATGATGAGTGAGAAAGACCACTAGTCGTCTGGGTAAGGCAGTAACTATTTTCTTTAGCTGATAATTATGGAGTAACACGTTAAGATTTAATTGATGAGGAGACCAAATTTCAAAAATCAGACAATATGGAAATTAACCACTCAGAAGGTAGGATTAGGGGAGGGGGAATGAAACATCAAAAGTATATATCCATGTAAATTCCTCAAAAATCACATCACTTGCATTTGAGTAGAATAAGTTTACAGTCAATGAATTCAAATTTGCCATCAATATGTAACATCAATCTAAATTAAGAAACAGTCAAAACAGTATTATCAAGAATGAAGAAATTATGAAATCCACATATCAAGAATGTGCAATAGAAAACAGGATAAAAGATGAATCCATGGCCACAATGCCATGGACTAGCTACACAAGTTTGGGCATTATGTGGAGGTATACCTCTCCGTGGAATTCTGGTAAGCATCCTGGATCAACTATTAGTGCATCTCCCCGTGCAATAAAATCATTTTCCTCTGAATCATTTGGGACATTCTCAGGTGCAAACACCACCAAATTTGTCTTGCGAAAAGGTATTAATGTCCTACTTCCCATAGGTACAATTATAACACCGGGTGGGTACTCCTGAAAATGAAAACAAACTTCATTTTGCACCAATTATAAACATAATGACTTTGAAGAGTAAAAGGCCAGCTTCCTCTTTTTCCTTTCTTTGTACAGAAATATCAAACCGCAGCTATGATCTCAGACTAAATTTTAAGTTGCTAAAAATTAACAGTATGCGTTGCTCATCTGGAGAATGTTATTGTCCTTTTAACCCATAAGTTAACAAAGTGAGTGAGCAGATTTGCCAGTGAAGATATAGGACGGCAGTGAAAATCTAGTAAACAAACCATCAGTCTCTAATAGAATTCCTTTTACAAAATCTTTCAGAATCTCTGCTGAAAATAGTTCATTTGAAATTCTTGCACTAATTTAAAGAGGCAAAGCTTCTTCAATATCACTGCTTGCAGATTTATTTAAAAAATTGTAATGCCCAATAACCAATAAATACCCCCACCAAGGGAAAAGGAAGAAATTTTAAAATAAAAATAAATAAATAAATAAATAAACAAAAAAAAAAAAAAACCTGATAGTTTATGGCTGGAGGGACTTTCCACCCTGTAGAGATAGATGATTTGTTTATAAGACCAACAACTGCCAATGGTCCAAGCCGGTCTCCATGTGGTTTCACTTCCAAAATCCAGTTAAGACAGCTTTGAACAGATATCCATCTATATGAATCTGTACAGATTTAGAAACATCTAAATTAATCATATAAGTTGTTGACATATTATAGTATTAAAATTTAAAAATGAACAAAAAAATATATATTAACAATGAATGAAAGTAAACATTTGCACTGCTTTTAGTGAATGGGTTGCAATTCATTCAACTTATCTACACTGCTGACCATGGTTGTCAATCTCAAGTAAAAACTCGTAATAACTACCGAGTTCACAAGATTGGTCAACCCCACCTATACAACTCGGAAGCAAACTTGTTTTTGAGTAATATCAAGCAATCTCGTCCGATCTTGAGCAATCTCACCTCCTCAGTTGCTAAAAGCAAAAATTAGTCTTTTCTTAATTTTTTAGTTGTTCTCATTTTAAGAACTTGTGTCTTTAATATTGTAATTTGCTATTTTACTTTAATATGAAATTGAAATGTTGAATTATTATGTTATTTATAAGTATTATAACATATTTTTTTATATTAAGTAAACTCTTACGAGTTTACGATTCGAATTTATTGGACCTCAACAAGATTACATAAATTCTCAAAATTGACAACCTAGTTGTTGACAAATAGTACACTAAGTGCATGTATTGTTTCTCGTTGGATTCTCCAAAATCATGTTGAAATACCATGATTTTAGATATTGCTTCCACATTGAGAAATTGATTCTGAGTTGAAGCAAATTTAGGCAACTTTAGCATATATCCAAAGACTATATTGAATTTCCCTATTAACCTGCTTTTATAATAAAAACATCCAAACATTAACCACATCACTTCAAAAACAATTTTAACCAAAAATCAATTTTACCAATGTTCATCCAAACACACATTGACGAGAACTCACGGGTGGGAAAAACATTTTGCTTAACAAAAGAAACCACTTTCATTTTTGTGCACCGAGTCATCAATCGGCCATCCATCCATTCAAAAGAAATGAAAGAAAAGATACAAATTAGCACATGAAATTGGAAACCTTCAATTCATTCAATGTAAGAACAATGACAAGCATCATATTGGACAGTTATTGAGCAAAAAAAAAAGAAAAACTGAAAGCTAAAATGACATTTATTTTGCTTTCTTATACAACAGTGATAATAATGACGATAACAAGGACCACTGGCAAACAAACTTGAAAAAGAAGCAAACCTCTAAAGTCCTTTTCTTCAGCTGCTACCAATTTTCCGACAATGAAAACTGTGTTAACGGGCAGATCGGGTCCAAAGGCAGGTTCCTTCACATATTTATGGAACTTCCATTCTGTTCCTTGAACCGCCTGAAGCCCTAGTTGTCCAAACACCTAATCGCAAAACCATTTAACACGAACACGAACTCATAATCACCAAAGCGTAAAAACTGAAAACATCCAAAACTGAACACTACCTCATTGAGAGCCGAACGGATGTCAAATTCCCTGAAATGGAAGCCCTCGGATTCGGAATGAGAGCCAGCAACGTCGAGCTGAAGAAAGGGCTCTGATTCTGGAGGCAGCGGATTCAACAGCGCCGAGGGCAAGTCCCAAAGATCAGAATCGACGAAAGAGTCGTACTCTTCATCGTTGAATTTGGGAGGGCGAGACTGCTTGACGAGCAGAAACTCATCGTCGTTTGAAGGGTTTTGGATTAGCAAAGCGAGTCGGTGAGTTGCCATGGATTGGGTTGAAGTTCCTATTTCAAACAAAGCTTATTTAAGCATAAAAGATAAGAGAATTGAAGTACTCACCTACCAGTTCATTGTATTAATTTTCAATTTCTTTTTTGCCTTTATTTGTAAACAAACAAAGAAAACAGACAGTTGAACAGAGGATAGGTAAGGTACCGAGGCTACGAGCATTTACGGGCCACCTCCGGAGTGGGTGGAATATTTTTGGCGCTCTTTGGCGTTCTGCGTTGTTTACTTGAATCTCACACAATTCAAGTATCCAAATGAAATTCAGGCTTTTTATAGAGGTTCTTTTGGAGTCTGTTGGAAAAACGGTGCAGACAAATAACAAATATAGTTAAAATTTTATTCTTTGTTAGGTGAGAAATAATATATATATATATATATATATATATATATTGGATAGATATATAAATAAAATAATAGAGTTTATTGCCTTTTAATTTTTATATTCGATTTTTTAAAATAATATTTTATTGAAATTTATATTGTTTAAAATATTAAAAAAATTAAAGTCATATCAACTAAAAATAAAATTATTAAATAATATAGGTTAAATACCTCTTTTGATCCCTTACAATGTTTTTTGTTTCAATTTAGTCTCACTTTAATTTTTGGTCTTAATTTGGTCCCCAATAACTTAAATTAGTGTAATTTGGGACTTCCGTCCAAATGATTTAAACGGAGTTAACTGTTAGTCATGTGGCATCTACGTGGATGCGCACGTGGACGCCAAAATTTTTGAAAAAACCTGAAACCAGAACGGTCCGTTCTGAAACCAGAACGAGCCGTTCTGATATTAGAACGGGCCGTTCTGCTTTTAGAACGGGCTGTTCTGAATTCAGAACGACCCGTTCTAGAACGCCATGCTTTTTTTTATTATATCTATATTAATAAATATATAATAAATATAAAATACAATAAATTAATATTCATTTATGAATAAAACTAAAAAAAATCAAATAAGATAAGACCTTCCAAAATATTTCTTTGATTTGAATTTATCCAGTTCAAAATCTTGACTAAAATGCCGCAATGTATTTCAAAAATTGAAAATAAAATTCAGGGTTTAGGGGTACCTCCTCAAGAACAGGTTGTTATTGTTGGGGTACATCGTCAATGACTTTAAGGAAAAATACTGTTTCGTTTTATCCTTGACTGTATAGTGTCAATTTGGTAGTAAGTGATTAACTCCAGTTTGATTAACAATGAAATAAAACTTGTTACCATTGTCCTTAATGATACACTGCATCATCCTTAATGATATACTGTATAGCCCAAATGTTTAGCGATTGAAGTTATTAATCCTCATTAACCATATTACTAAATCTAGTATTTAAAATGCTTTGTATTTTGTAATATCCCAAAATTTTATTCAAATGAAAAGAGTTATTTATTATGAGAATCCGTATTTTATTCCCGTATTTTACTATTCATGTATATGTATTTTACTATTCATGTATATGTATATTTTCTTTTCTTGTGTAATTTAATAAATTATAAATTGAAAAATTGATGTAATATATATTTTAAAATATACTAAAATATGAATACTTTGATTATTATCAAGTTGTTGTTTAATTTTAACAAAATTTGATATAAACATATAAAGTGATATGAACTTTCAATCTAACAGTTAGATTTACAAAATTCATATTTAATATATAGTTATTAATTAATGTAATACTTAGTAAAAGTTACGTCGATGTTATTATAACCCCCTCACACACATGCACATATATAGGAGAGATCTGTTTATTTCCGGAATAAGTTTACATAGGCTTACTCTGTTCAATAATTCATGCTCTATATCAAATTTAAACGATTTAACATTGTATTTAAATTTCTTAATACACATATCAAATTTATAAATTTTTAAAAAATTTGAAAATTATTTGATAATTCGTTTCAACAGTTAAATCGTTGTTATTTGATATATAATATGTATTATTGAACAAAGTAAATCTAGATAGACTTACTTAAATTTACTCATTCAATAACTTATGTTATACATCAAATTTTAATACTCAAATCGTTAAATTAAAAAGTTCATAATACTAGACTTTTCTAGTTTAAATGATAATATCCAATAAATTGTATTGTAAGAATTGATATCTCAATTTAGTTGTTGATCTAGCAAGTGTAAAAAAATTGATTAGTTTGATAGGGTAAGTCACTTAAATTACTTACCTTGGTATAAAAGATCTTTGTAGGTGAATAAATGACTATATATGTAGTTGAAGTATATACATATGATATGTTGTGTTGTTGTTTATATGTTTGCTGATTATGCGGTCGAATGACATTAATGTGGTGAGATAGAAATTTTCATATTTGATTAAGTTGTTTATTTTGTAAGATGTTGAATATCATGTTGAAGTGAGTTGTTGTATGATTTACATGTTAATGTTGTTGATAGTATAATTGTTTTACTCTTATACTTGTTGCATAATTACTCTTTTTATACACTAACTTATCTTTATATTATTTTCTAATGGTTGAACTATGAATTTGTGATGATTATGTTTTCATGGAAATAAAACAAGAATAAACTTGAAGAGTTAGATGTATGAAATATCATATATTATTTACATGTAGCTTGGTGCTACTTTTAGTAGAGCTATTTAATCAACAATTTAAAATTTTATTTTACAATAATAAATTACTATATATATATATATATATATATATATATATATACACGTATACATATATTTATATTTGTATAGTTTATTTATTTCCTTGGTTGTTTTTTCTTTGTATATATCTATTGATACACATCTACAAGAAATGTGAATATAACAATCTTAAAAAATTGATTGTTTCTATTGTTAATAATTAATTTTATTAAATATAAGATCGTTACAATTATAAATAATAAATTTTGATTAAATCACAATATAAAATTATTTTATAAATAATCTTTTATCATAGCATAATTTGTCCTCGGATAAAAGTTGTAAATAACAATTAGTCTTAATGTGAAACCTATTTGTTTAATGCTAATAAAATTTATGTCAATTAATTAATATTTGAGTTTTTAAAACATGTATTTGAAAAAAAATAACTTAACACTCGTTCAATTTTCCATTTTTTAATATAAAAAATTTAAAATAAATATGATGTTACCTTTCAATTATATTAAATGTAATACAAACACATCATAATCTTTCAATATCAATTGAAAGATAGTTTTGAAATGAATTAAAAGAAAAGGATTTTACTTGATTGTCAGTAAATAATATTTTATACTATATTCACTTTAAAAATCCTTTTAAGCTATTAATAATCATTAATAAAAAATATTTTTAAAAAATAAAAGAAATTCGAGAGTTAAATTGAATGATTGGATAGTGGATGCAGGGTAGAAAAAGGAAAGGAAAAAAGCATGTGTGTTGTGTGTCTGAAGAAGAGAGTACAAAGAGCGGCGCGTGAGGCCTCGAGAGTGTATCTGAGGAACAATGGTGGGTCCCGTTTCAATGTTTTTTACGCATTGGATCCCGCATGCATGCGCAATCCTCTTTCTTCGCTTTTTAATTTTACCTTTCTTAATTAACTCTAGCGGTGATTCAGCCGTACGAATTGATTCATATTTAAGCAGGTCAAGGGTTTGAATTTTGTGTTATATATACAGTCACGATAAATTTTAAGAAAAAATTAGTCATTATTATCAGTGATGTATATTTCATTCCAAAAAAAAAAAAAAAAACTTTCCTAATTTATGCTCAATTTCCCTTTTTCACTGTCACTTCTCCTCGTTTATAACCCTTTTTTCTTCCATTCAATTAGATTCAAATTCAACCTCTTGTTACGTGTTACGGTAATAATCATTCACCTTATTCCACAACTAAAACCTCTGCTTTTTTCACTCTACCTTCTTCTTTCTAGACACAATCCTAAGTAACACCATTCGCTTATCACTATCGGTTTCTGGGTTTTCTAATGGTTTCAACATAACTTCATGTTCGAGCTAATTAAGCTAAGTCAACTATACACTTGTTTGCTCAATTTTTAAGACAATTTTTTTCCGTAAAATAATTTGGGTTGCCTATCAGTTTGAACGTAATTTGATGTTGATCACTTTCTAATGTAACAAGTTAGCTAGTTGAATCCAGAAAATATATATGTAACTGATGATGAAAAAGAAAAATAAATTTTGATCATTTGTATATTACAAGAATATCGGAAAAACTTGAATTTATGTTTCTGGACCTCACATTCAGCAAGCAATGACATTTGCAAGCTCCCTTATTTATCTAAAAATACAAAATCAAAAAATGGTGAAGTGAAGCATCTTAGACACCAATTAAGGTTTGATTGTTTGATCAAAATTTGTTTTTTTATGATTAACTTTGATCAAACAACATAAATCTCGAAGCGTCGTATCATTCTTTTTTTTTTTTTTTTAAGAAAAAAAACCCGACCACAATGGTTTATATGGTTATGGTTATCGAGTAAATCCACTCCTTTCTTAAAAAATACAGTGCTTAAGATCAAGTTGTTGTTTAATTTTAACAAAATTTGATATAAACATATAAAGTGATATGAACTTTCAATCTAACAGTTAGATTTACAAAATTCATATTTAATATATAGTTATTAATTAATGTAATACTTAGTAAAAGTTACGTCGATGTTATTATAACCCCCTCACACACATGCACATATATAGGAGAGATCTGTTTATTTCCGGAATAAGTTTACATAGGCTTACTCTGTTCAATAATTCATGCTCTATATCAAATTTAAACGATTTAACATTGTATTTAAATTTCTTAATACACATATCAAATTTATAAATTTTTAAAAAATTTGAAAATTATTTGATAATTCGTTTCAACAGTTAAATCGTTGTTATTTGATATATAATATGTATTATTGAACAAAGTAAATCTAGATAGACTTACTTAAATTTACTCATTCAATAACTTATGTTATACATCAAATTTTAATACTCAAATCGTTAAATTAAAAAGTTCATAATACTAGACTTTTCTAGTTTAAATATTTTCCCTAAAAAAATGTTTTGTATTTTGGTTTTTTTGTGCACGAAATTCTGGACCATAACGGCCCGTTCTGGTTATACTGTTGATGTGTTAATTTTGGACCTGGAACGGCCCGTTCGAGGTGCAAATTTTGCACACCAATGATGTAACCAGAACGGGCCGTTCTGGTTCCAGGTGTATTCCAGTATTTTTTGATTCACCTACATGGCATCTACCTGGCATCACGTGGCCACCAGTTAACTCCGTTTAAATCATTTAGACGGAAGTCCCAAATTGGAAAGATTTAAATTATTGAGA